AAATTTCAAGTGTGAGCCTCGCTTTGCAAAGCCAACACGCCAAGCAACGGTGGGTTACAAGAACGCACTTCCAGAAGACACGATCCCCGTATTTGCCACCAACTGGACCAATGATAGATTCATAATTACTTTTTGAGAGGAAAGATGTCACAGTGCACTAACCCTGAAATCAAGCCATTCCTGACAATTTGGTAATGCATCCTATTTGAAGAGAAAAACCCTAAAAGTACAGTGATCTTGATAAAGATCACATTTTCCCGTCTTAGTCGGTTGTTTGCTTTCATTGGAAAGCTTTCTTAAAGCCACTATGACATTTCTTACTTTGGGTCCCTGATCTAGAGTAGCAGCAGCAATTATTATGTCAAAATAGGGAAACGGACCCTTATGTATTCTTGTCATCTAGTTTCAGTTATTTCCCGAAGAAAAGCAAGTGACAAATCGTAGACGGTATCAATGTTGTTTTGGAAAATCAGATCCCCTGAGGATGGGATCCATAAAATCAACGGAGGAGATTTAAATCTTCTCTCTCCTCCCTCCACAAAAGAATATACATCTACACTTAAAAATCAGAAAATATTTTCTATTTGGATTTTCTGCAGGGGTCTTGCATAATTACCCCTCATACATGTTATATCAAACTGTGAGCTTCTTCAGGGAAAAGACACAACAATGAAATAGTTTGTTCTCCTTTATGATGGAGATAAGCCTTTTATTTATCCTGAATCCCACGATCATATTCGAGTCGAAACAGCCAAGATAATGAGATGAACTTGCGTTTCCAGTCCCTCCCACTACACTATCTTTCCTTACAGATGATCTCTTATCTTGGGAAGAAAAGATGTTCCATTTCAATTTCATGATTCCCCCCCCCCCCTCTTAAAAGCCAGCGTCTATTTTATTAGCTTCTCTCACTCGCTGAGTAGACAGACGCCCAGCTCTCGTGGCAAGAAGTATCCTTAAGCTGGCTGATTTCTGAGAGGAAGTCATAAGCAGCTTAATTAGCTCCTTTGGCTAAGGAAGTGTTAACCCTGACTCCTGGCATGCTTTTCACGTAGCGCTTTAAAATGATAAGCCGAATCATCTCATTCTATATACAAATCAAGCGGCATGCTCCTGCATGGTTGAAAGGGTCACCACAATTATGTAAAACATGAGTAATAACTATAATTGGGGTAGTTTGCTAATACAATAAAAAGCTCTGAACATGAGAAAAGTTATGCTCACAGCAGTAGCTATCACTTTCTAAAGTAAGAATTCATGGATGAAATGACATGAAAAAGATGGTTATAAAATTTTAATGGAATGATAAAAGGCAAAAGTCAGCCTCTCAGCTGAATTCTTAAAATCCCTATATATCACAATCAGCTCCTTAACTGTAAAATCAATGTGGAGTATAACATGTTGTCAATGCAGCTGTCACTCGAGGGGACACTGGGAAGGCTGACAGCCACACAGCTCAGCTGGCCAGTGATGGAAATGCAAGCGTACAGCCCTCTCCGTGGGTGTAATTGTTTAGAGAACCCCACATGGAGCCTGGACAGGAACATCCTTTCTGTTCAGATCACTGGTTCATATTTCAGGCCATTTCACTACAGCATTAATAACAGAAAGTAGTTTCATTTTGGCAAATGAAATTATCTTTTATGGGAAACTATTTTGTTCATCAGCTTCCAAAGTTCAGCCCCAGCCTAAAATAGAGTAATAAAATCGTTAATGGTGGGGTCTGCTTATTTATTTTTCTATCCAGGTGTGCATATTGAGAAGGGTGTGTGTGTGTGTGTGTGTGTGTGTGTGTGTGTGTGTGTGTGTGTGAAAGCAGTTTTAATGACACACCTTCAGTGTGGGTGTAAGGATAATGCTCAGGCGTTCTCCCATCTTGTACACTTGTTTGCTATCAGACTTACCCATGGATTGCTCAGTTTTCTTGTTATGCTTTCCTGATTGCCCAGTCTAATGAGAAACTTACTCAATTTGAAAGCTCTTTTCAGTAATATTAACTCATTCAATGAATATCCTCTAAAGTTGCCAGTGAATTAAAAATTAAGGTGGCAAATATATGGATGTCTAATTATCTAGAGCAATATATTATATGCTAATTATTAATGGAGTCTTTTGATATTCACTACTGGTATGTTAGCAGAAGAGGAGAGGGATCGAGTCTATTTCTCTTTAATCATGAATTCTTTTATCAATTTATTATTTATACCCCAACTAATTCCCAAAAGAATTTTTAACAGCTGATAATAAAAGACTCAAATGTAATAAGACCAATAAAATTAAAATAAAGAAATATTAATCTTGTGATGACGAAGAGGCACAATAGTACCCCAGAACAAATATTATGGATGGCCATCCTGATTTTGCACCAAAAAGAAATTTTAGGTTTTTGGCAAATGATAAAATATGGAATGGACTATGTGACTTAGGCATCATTATTTAATAGAAGGACCTTCTGAAGTCTAGGCAATTGTTGAAACTGAAAGAATACTATTTACATCTGTAGGTAGAAGAACCAGCCTTTGGGCTATTTCTTCTTTTTCTTCTGAGCCCAGGACAGAAGAGTTAAGCTAGGAAGAGGGTTTTGACTTTCAGAATTGAGTTATATTATTTTTCACTGGATAGCCATGGATTTTCCTGAAAGCTTGGGACAGAAGTTAAAGTGTTCACGTGGGCTTTCATGAAGGAATGAAAAAGTCCTAAAAGACAAGAGACTCCTCATTTGTTAGAGTCTCACCCAATATTCCCAAAGGGACTCAAGGGCCTCCGAAGAAATGGAAGCAGAGAGATGGAACTTTTCAAAGGATTCTCTTTTGGTCACTTTTAGCTTTTGATCTTAGGGTGTAAAATTAATAATACATATTAGCTTTTCAATGTGGAAATGTCAGCATTTGGTGGGTGGAAGCTAGAAAACAGTATATGTAAGGACATACAGAGCCATTTGCTCTCAAATCAGGAGATGAAATAATTTACTTTTCATCATGCATCTTTCTGTTAACTAGGTATCTGCATCCTGCATCATTGTTTGAAAAGACAGACATGCCAGTATTTAAAGTAACTGGGGAAAATATTTGGAAAGGAGGACACAAAATAATCAGGCAACACTACTGAAACTTATAATTCACATCTTTCATTAAATAAGATCAAATCTGATATAATTATGCTAGAACTTCACACAAATAGAAAGAAAAATCCTCTTTTTCCCTCATATTCAACACTCTTAAGATGCAGGTTGAGATTTGAAATTTTGAGACACACTGATAAAAAGATGTTTGCCAGGTATTAATAGTTTTACATTTTTAAATACTCCTAAGGGCACAAGTACTCTTACTAAATGATTTGGAAAATCCTGCTTTAGAATTATCTTGATCAATTCATTGACTTTCATACCACATTCTTATTTCCGTTCCCTGTCACAAGGACTGTGGCTATTTTACTCTTATTGCAGAATGGGAACAAGAAAAAGGCTTTCCTTTTGAAATCCTCTTTTTATGTATCCTCCCTTCTCTCCCCACCAAGATTTTGAATTAGCCCCTAGTTCTGGGCTAGCAGAGGTCTCTCTGATTACAACATTCATTATACTAGCCAAGTCACCAAAGTTGAAACAAAGTCAGCAGGCTCTGGCTCCAAGGCAAAAAGGGAGGATAACTTTTGGGGTTTCCTTTCCTGACATTTGCTCTCCTCTTCTCCACCATGGACCACGGGCAGAGCACCCTGCTATCTGCTCCTTCAGCAATTCCTTTTTTTGCTATTTTCTACTGAATGGAAGGAAGTCAACTTGGGACTTGACATTTAAATGCGCTCTAAATAGAAATGGTTTCTTTTCCCTCTCTTGGTCTTCTCTGGCTTTCCAAACACCCTCTATTGAGAAAAACACCCTTTCCCTTGCTGTTGCTTTCACTGAAGTTCCAGCTCTGTGTTCTCGCCTGGGGTTCTCCCCCTATTGTAAAGGGGAGGCCTCCAGAACAGAGTTGTGTCTCTTTCGGCCTCTGGTAAGAGGCAGTTTCAAATTAAGGTTTGCCTGTATTCATGGATGTAGCTACTCTTGGTAGCCAGTACTTGCGTGAACAGCTTTTGAGTACCTGCTCTGAACAGATCTCCCAAGCCCTGGAAATACAGAGATAAATGGGTTAGAGCTTGAGGGTTTGAGAAGTTATATTTCAGAGGGGGCTAAATATAGCCCACATGAAAGGACAACCCAAACTTTCAAGGCGGTCATAAGAAGACTTCACAGAGGGGTGACATTTGAGTTGGGACTTGATGAATGAGTAGCACATCAACAGAAGAAGAAAAGTGTCCTGATAAAGATGGATTTAATTAACATCCTGTCTTGCTTGGAAGGGAACCTCTTTTCTTCTGTACATGACTACCACAATCTGTAAGATGAATGAAGGTGGGAAAATATTTACAAATAATAGAGGGGAAAGGGAAGCAGAAACCAAAGACCAGGATAATTTCCCTGACTACTTCATTCTTTGTTCATAGTGCAATTGTAAGTGTGAAAAAAAAAAAAATAGAAAGCCTAATATAGTGCGTAACAATCTTAGTATGTTAGAGGTACTTATAAAACTGAGGTTTTATATCTTTAGCCTTTCCAGGCAAAATTCATGGACCTTCAGTGTTAGCAAAATACTTATCTGCAGAATAAACTACCCTAAGCCACAAGTTTTATTTTAAGATGCCTCTTAGATGAGCAGTTAAAATTCCTACTCTGAAATTTTTAACTACAAATTTGGAAAGATGTCCATATTTTTAAAGGTTTTAAAAATACGTGATATGTAAATGGTCTGCCCGATAATCAATTTGGGTTTATTTGTTTATCTATTTAGGAGACAATTTCACTTGCTTTGGGCTGACACATTTTGCACTACTTGTGATACCACACTTTTGTTTTAAATAACTGAGGGGTGATAGTCTATGCTATCATTACCTGAAAAACCTTGAGGGAAACAGATTGTCTCAGTTTTATTGGTCTAGGGAATCACAACTTCACAGTAAAGTGAGTTATTTCATATTTTACACAGGGCAGGATTTTAGGCAAAAGAGCATGTCTACATTTGAGCTGAAGTTGGAAGAAAAACTTCCAGCCAACTACAAGTCCTATATGTATGTGATGTCCAGAAACAATTGCCAACACATGAGAGAGAAGCAGAAGGAGCAATACTATAATCAGGAGCGAGGGTTGTTTCTAGCCTAAGGCATCAAAAATTTCAGCTGTGAGGCAAGTATTTTGATCCTGTTAATCACATGTCCCCAAGCCTAATACAATCTTCATGCATGTTTGCAATATGCAGACACGCGTTAGGTTATTGGGCTACCAGGAGAATGTAAAAAAAAAAAAAAAGTCATGTGTTGTTTGTATTTATCTGGTTGCAAATTGTTGAACACTACACTGACCAAGTCTGCTGGAACAAACATCTTTTATTAACACACATTTAACAGGATTTAAAATATTCATAGGAAATGTGCATTATTATTATTTGGCATCAGCATGCTAGATTTTTAAAAATGCATGGAACTGGATATTGGTAGCACACTGAAGTAAATGACAAATTATTTGAAAGGAAAATCTATTAAAATTCCTTATAGCCCCTTTCTCTGCCCGCGAGAACTTCTCTTTACACTCAAGCATGTTTCTCTGGCTGAAATTTGTAGCTCATTTCCTGACTCAGATACCTTTTCTAACTTCAGCAGTGTCACAGGCTTGATGGAAATCACAGGCTTGCTCGATCACATGAGAAATCCCCTTAGTGAGGAGCTATCAGTACCAGGAAGTTTGGGGGCCATACTGATGTGAAAGGTACCTACTGAAGGGGTGAAATTTACATGCGAGTGCGAGTGACTTCTCTGTTTCATTCTGTAAGATGATACGTAACATTTCTACATTGGAAATTGTGCGTGGGCAAAAAGAGGTGCTGGCAAAGATCAAGTATGAAGTGCAATTCTGGCACGGAGCTGTCAGCATGGGTGGTTTCAGGAGGAATGCTTTGAAGCCTTGACAGAAAAACTGCTTGTGCCCAATGCCAATCACTCAGTCTTTGTCAACTCAATTGCACATCCTTTCAGAGATGGCATCCATCTCTAGTGACACCCAAAATATAGAGTTCACTGTCATCATGTCTCGGGCTGAGCAAACACTGGTAACTTACCCAAGAAGGGTGAATGACCAGCCTCTGGCTCTCTGCTGATGTGTGTGACTTTGTAGTGTGTGCCGGAAGCAGAGGGAGGAAGAGGTTATCAGTTTCAGGGGAGGGATTTAAATAAAAAATGATGGCTGGGTTTTTTGAGTTAATACCTGCTGTAGAGTCAAGTGTTACTCTTAGTTGAAATGACAGGTTAATGTTATTTACTTCAAATCCAGGCACCCCCAAGTCACAATGATGGCAGGGTCTCTGTGCATGAAAATTCTAATCACATCCACTGGGCTTTGTTTCATGGGGAGATGAGGTGGGATAATTTTGATCAAGAAAGGAACTCTGCTAATTGCTACTTGGCTATATTTCGGACAGTATGTGCAAACTTCTCACCTATAGATAGGAGGTCATAGCCCTCAACCAAAATTTAGGGGAGGTCAACTGTTGTTATTTGTGTATGGGAGGAGAAACTGAAAGTTCCACAAGAACAGACCATTTCCCTCTTCTCCAGCATAGCATAGTCTATGAGACCATCACCCACACAAAGGGTTGACAAATTCTTTTAATTAATCTTTGCATCTAAAAATTTATTTCTGGTGGCTTAATTGTTTGTTTTTTTTTCTTTTCTAAAGTCTATTTTGTATGGAAGCCTTTCAGTCTACACATCTATACACAGCTCGTGACCATAGTGTCAATTCACAGCGTCTGTCATGTTCCTTCTAAGGGGAGCTTAGGTGGGCTGAGTGTTGCTTTAATGCTTTCTGGCTCTTAGATGTTGCTTTTTGTGTTATGCTGAACATGTACTATATCTCATTTTACCCTTGAGAATCAAAAGGACCCGGAGTATCTTTGTAAAGTTCTTGATTTACTCCCAGGAAGTAGTTATCAATTGGGAGAAGTGGATAAAGAATTCTATATTATTGTTCATAGTGTATTTTTTAAAAAAAATATGCTTTAAGGATGTAAATAGTTTTGATTCTATCTCTTATCCTCACTAAAATAACACAATTAAGGGTATTGTAAAAATTAACGAGTCTATTGGATATTTGATTGATATTCTTTCACACACCATGCTTTTGAACTCATATCTAGCCTTCTGAAAGTTACTCTAATCCCCATCAGATTTAGAATCAGAATGGCTCTGGTCTATAGAGCAATATATTCTAAGAAGTCGCTGATGAAAAGACTTGACAAGATAACCCCAAAGAACCTTGCTGTTTAAAGGAGCTGTTCCTTATTCACTCTGGGTATCTTGATTTAATTCCTAATTTTTCTGTTAAAATTATACTTTCATATATATGTTCATATTGAGGTTATCTGTATATAACAAAGTGTAACAGCACTGCATGTATTTTCTATGCAGCCTCCTCAAGAAATAAGGTCCAGATTGCAAACCCTTCAGCCTGCCAGAATTCCTCCAAAGCAGAGAATACTGAACTATTCAGACACAGAGGAGAAGATTGTAACTTCCCTATTGCAGGGTAACACAATGTACCCTAAAGGGTAGAATGGGACCATTTCATCACTTATGTGAGTAACTGCTTCCTGTCTGCAGACCTAACCCTTCAAGCCCACATTTCTTTTTTTCTGGAGAGTCTGACCACAATTGCCCTGGAAAGTATTATCACCAGCAAATGTCAAGAAAACACAGGAGGCTTGTTCTTTTGTTTTGGGAAAACCAAAGAGATTTAAAACTCCTTAATGAAAAGGGTAGTCCAGGCCACTTACTGTCCTCTGTGGTCATGAAGGGGACCTGAGGGCCACTTGCACTGCTGAATCCACTGGAGGCCACCAGCCAGAATTCACACTCTGTGTAGAACTGAAACTCTCTCACTTCATAGCTTACTGTTGCAGAAGGATTAGAAAATAGCCTAATGAGAAATAAATGCTCATTAGGAAGATTTTGATAATTCAATGAAATAATAAATGTGTAAAATCTTATGGCAAAGAATTTTCATAATATGTCAACATATATTTGAGGAATGCAGTTTCTATTACCACATGATTAGTCCTTTAAAATAAGGAGCCTTTGGCTGAGCGTTTGCAATACTGCTTTATAGGAAAGGCAAATTCAAGCAGTAGTCACAATCTAGTCTACTGCTGACACCCTGGCATGTGGAATGTGCAGAATAAGTATTATAATTTTGTAGCCACAATTCACGAAGCATTTTTGGGTTTCAGGTATATACCTGTGTTAAGCAACACATGTGTTTATGAAAAGTTACAGGTGAAGACTTTTACAGAGAAAGAATAGGTGAGTAGATGGGTTAGCCTAGCCCATCACATCTCCTTGGAAGTGGCTTGTTTTTTAAATTTACTTGAACCTTTCAAAAGTAGCCTTTGCAAACTTATTATTCAAAACTTAAGTCTACATGGTCTAACCCTGGTGATAATAGGAGGACGGACAAAGTCGAATGCTCACTGTAGAAATCCTCGGCTGGGGTGGCCAGTCCTCATCTGGAACCGGTTTCTGGGACAGCCAGGGGCGTTGTTGAGAGCTGGTGTAGACCAGACAACCTGAAGACGGGCTGGGGCAGCAGATGAGAGCCTGGGAGGCAGCGTGCCATCTGGAGCTGTCGGGACACGCAGATGAATTAGAGCAGAGAAAACTGTGGCGAACATATGCTGGATGGAATCGAAATGCTCCGTATACTGGAAAAACTGCTCCTCGGGATCACAAACAATGTTAAACATGGTCCATTTAATTTAACATTTTCCTTCCTGAGCTACTATACTTCCTTATTGTTCATTTCAACACAATGACGTAATGCTTCGGTCGTAAGAAGTGGTCCCCCAAACGGAAGAACAACGGAGAGACAATGGCATGCCCAACTGCCCTTCTGCTTATCTAATTGAGAACATGTGAGGGATTTAGTGAAGCAAATATTCAGCTAGCTTCTTTCTTTGCCCAAAAATCAAGCAAAAAACCCCAACAGTGCAGGGATCCAAGTCTCTTACTTGCCCCATCTCTATGGCCCACACCCACCTAATCACAGCATCACCTATGAACACAAGTAGTTTTTTTTGTGTGTGTGTGTGGAAAGGAAGATTTTTTAAAAATTGTACTTTTTTATAATGGTAGACATGATTAGGTGAAAATAGCACATTCCAGTCTTACTTGTCACTTATGAAAATGTAAAATTGAAACATTCTCCCTCATGTGTTTTCTTCATCAACTGCCAAGAATATAAAAATGAAACATCCTCTTTCATGTATTTTCTTCATGAACTGCCACTTCTCTTGGTGACACTGCCCTTATCATGCATGTGGGGATGTGTATGCTGCTTTTTCCCATCTACTGAGTGTCTGGCAAATCTGTCTTTGGCCCAGCATTCCCGGTTCATATAATCCACCAGATAAATCTGTTAGAATTGTACCAGAAAACCTAAAAGAATGACATGAAGTAAACCGTATTGTAGTAAAAAACTGACTACACAACAGTGTTTTGCTTTTCAGTTGAGTGAAGAGTGTCACAAGTAAAAAATAATGGAGTGAAGATATACTAATGTTTCAGCGTCCTGGGCATGCTGAAATGAGGATCACTAAAGGGAGGTGTCAGTTATGGTGGAATCAAGACTTCTGCTCTGTCCATGTTACATTTAATATTTGTAAATACACCTTTAGTTGGGACATCAAGGAAGAAGTTGGCTCTGGATCAATGTGCATGGGTTATCTAAGCTGAGACTTGATGAAGTGAACTAGAGGTGATAAACACTATGAGCATGGTAGAGATCTGAGAATAAAGCCCTGGATTCCATCAACATTCTGAGGTCAGGAAGTTGCATCTGCCATAAAGGATACTTAAAGGAGTGGACAGTGGTAGAAGCGGGAACTGGAAGCCAAGTGAAGAAACACCCCCACCACCGAGGAAGCCCTGGTCATCTGTGTCAACTGTGCTTTGCTTAGGGAAGTAGACTAAGAGTTGCATTTTTTTTTCTTTTCTTTTTTTTTTAAGATTTATTTATTTATTCATACAGAACTAGGGTACAAGCCAGAGATGCGGAGGGTGAGAGGATTCACCAGAGACAGAGCGGGGAGCAGAACAGGCAGATCTTTGAAGTACACTGCTGAGGGGAGCAGTGGGCGGGTCAGGAGAGGTCTGCTGCGCCATGTGGTCACCTCCAGGGCAGGTGGGAATCGAACTCATGCAGAAGTGGCTTTAGCTTCTTAGTGCTGTGCTTTAACCCGCTGCACCACCAGGGAGGGCCAAGAGTTGCAGTTTTTTTTTAGTCAAGTGTGTGTGGCTGGTAACCTTGCTGAGAAAAGATGCAGTGCAGCAATAGGCATGGCAGTCTGTTTAGTGAAAACTGAGAAGGGCATGATCAGGAAGGAAGGGAGTGAGTGAACGTAGCAACCAGAGACAACTCTTGTGAGAGATTTGACTCTGAAAGGGAGTATAAAAAGGGGAAGCATGGAGAGATGCTAAAGTTATCAAAGGGAAGCTTTCTAAAAACTAAAGATGGTGTACCATGTGCATTCTAATTAGAATGATGCAGTAGAGACTGGGGGAAATAATGCAGGCGGATGAGAGGGAACTGCTGGAGTATAGTCCTTGTAGGAGAAAGGCTAGCCAGAGACATGTGAGTTGAATTGAGAGCCAATGCGCATAGGCTGCTGAATGGAACCAGGCATGGCGCCATTATGCAGAAGAGAATGCAGAGTCCAAGGCTGCTATGTATAGAGGTAGGCAGATTTGATGATGGGAATAACAGCAGAGATCTCTCAGTGACTTCAAAGACTTCCTCATGATCAAAATAAAAGCAAAGGCATCAACTAAGTGAACAAGTGTGAGCATGAATTGGATGCTTGAAAAGAGGGGAAATGAAAATAGGGGGTGACTTATTTCTTCCAGTTAGTACAAATGGGACATGACCAGGAGAGGTAAGGAGAATGCTGTCTAGGGCAAGCTATCCAATAAGTAAACTCTGTATCTTGGCTTGAATTCATTCTAAAATCTGTTTAATTGATCGTTTATCTGTGAATGCAAAATAGTTTAAACAGTGATAAGTTATCAGGTATGTAGTCTTCATTTAGTTGGTAACAAATGTGCATTTACAAAAAGAGCCTGGACAGAAGGTATATAACTGCATTGACAATTCAAGTTCTGAGGGAAGATCAGCTCTGATAAGATCAGATTTGATAAGATCATGAAAAGCGTTAACATTTTGAATATAGAGACTAAAACCCTCCAAATGCTCAGGATATGTCTTTAAGAAAGAACAGAGGCGGCTCTCCCTGGTGGCGCAGCGGGTTAAAGCACAGCACTGAGAATCTAAAGCCGCTTCTGCATGAGTTCAATTCCCGCCTGCCCCGGAGGTGACCGCATAGTGGGGCAGACCTCTCCTGACCCGCCCGCTGCTCCCCTCAGCAGTGTACTTCGTTGATCTGCCTGTTCTGTTCCCCACTCTGTCTCTGGTGAAGCCTCTCGCTGCCCCTAAGCCTCTGGCCTGTACCCCAGTTCTGTATGCACAAATAAATAAATCTTTAAAAAAACAAAAGAAAGAAAGAACAGAGGCGTGGGGTCTGCAATAATAAAGTATCCTGGGTTCTCTCCTGAGTGATCACAAAATTACATCACCCATTAAATTGATCTGATTACACAGATTACAAAATAGTTCTAGCAGTATGATCATCTTAAATTATTTACATAAAACATCTCATTCTGTAGTTTATATACATACATACATACATACATACATACATATATATATATGTATGTATATATATATATATATATAGCATTGCATGCTAGAAACCTTTCTTTCCCCTCTGGTTAACCCCTTTTATCTGAGACCTATTCCTTTGAGGCTCCTTAGCACCAAAGCAATAACTAGGAACCAGCCATAATTCCACCCCTGGTTGCTTAACACGAGAGCTGGGTATCCATCACCTTGATATATGGCCTCCAAGATGCTATGTTGCTCAAAAAGCTCCTCTAAAGTTGAATATGACCCTCCTGGGGCAAGCACTCTACAGACAACCTCCTGAATCAACAATCTTGTCCAGTAAATACTAATTCTACATGGCAACTAGATAAAACAGCTACTCCAATCTATAAATTTAAAGGAAGGGAGGGTGTATTTAATAAAAGTTCAAATTGAACTGTTTTTTTTTTCCAAAGGCAAAATCAATATAAAATAGGAAACCATAGATTAAATCACAGGGTAGCCAATGATTAAATCATAGGGTAGCTATTCTATATAGTATGATTTTTTTTAATATATGGTTTTATTAAAATTATAAATTATTCGCACTTGTGGACTGTTCCCTATCAGAAACAAAAGGAACCAAAAGCAAACAAACAAACAAAAAACCAGAACACCCTAACCTTTTGGGCCAGGAGGCCTGTGACTATTAAGGCTAAAAGTGTCAGAAGAGGAAATGTTATGGGGAGAAAATTAATTCAATCTGCTTTCCATACACACCCTTTTCTCAGGACAGCCACCGATCTGTTAAGACAGACGTGTTGTACAGACATGTGCGCATTTCTAAACACTGGAGTCAAACACCACAGTAAGGTGTCAAAGAAGCCTTTGATATTATGTATGAGATTCAAATCTGTAATAAATGATATCAAATCCCACTCTATACAAGCTTCTTTGCTGGGGGCAGGGAAAGGGCAGGCTAGGGAGACCTGGGGATTAGACCATATACTTTACATTCAATGGAGAGATAAGACATGACTCAGTGACTGGAACGTGTGGGTGCAGAGTATAAGAGGTGTGTTTGTGCTCGGAGGGTTTCAGAAGGTGCAGGTGTGACCTCGATCTTGCCTTTTGGAGAAATAGACCCTGAAGGCTCATCACCAGGGCAAGACGTGCACTACCAGTTCTTTTGAGGTATTCATGTCTCCAGTTAAAGCCCGGTGTCTGGAGCTTCCATCAGCTCTGCCCGTGCTCATTCAAACAGATGTGGTAAGTTCCGCTGCCTTCACCTGGAATTGGGCACCAGCCAGTAACAAAGTTGCATTCACTTCAGAGATATTGCTGGCTTCTTCACTGATGTCTCCTTGTTAATATAATATAAGAGAACTATAGCCCTTTATCTCTATGCCTCCTGGCTGCATCACTGAATAGCCTGGCACATATTCAAATTCTTTGGATTACACATTTTCCTCTCATTTTCTGAAATAGCTACATATGAGCAAGGATTTTATATTCTAGTTTCCAGAATGGAAAATTAAAGTTCAGACACATATATGGAGTTGTTGAGTCATAAACAAATTGAAAACAGAAGGCAAGACTCAATTTCCAGTCACTAAACCATATGTCATTAAAAAAGATATTAATTATGAGGGATATGCAGATGTGCTAACAAATGGACAGTCAACCTTGAGCTCAAGGATGTACAAATAGAGCAGCATTAAACAAATAGCGATGAGTAGGTTAAAAGGGATTTAATGCTCACAAAATAGTCTTTCATAATAACTAACTTTTAAAAAACATACGATGCTCTAGGTTCTTTAACATAATTATTTCTAATCCTCAGAATGACACTAAAGATTGTCATACTATCTCTCTGCTGTGCAGATTGAATCTGAGGCTCAGAGAGTTTACATATTTTATCTCAAATC